TAATAATAATATATATATATATATATATATATATATATATATATTCATATTCATATTCATGTCGATTGTACACGCTCCTTATATTTGTTTTTTTGTTGTTAAGTAATTTGGTTCTTTTAGCAGTCAGGTTTTCAAATATGTGCACTGCAGATCCTTTAAGGTGCCAATAGGTGGTCCAGTGGCGGATCCAGGTTCTCAAAATAGAGGGGGCCCGGGGCCGAGGCAAACAAGTTTATGATTATGACACGTCTAGATGGCCGGAAATGGCAATCTCATAACTAAATTTGATTATACATTTTCCTTCTTTCTAGATGTGGGGGATGTCAGCTCGGCCCCACTTGAATCCGCCACTGTAGTCATGTAGCCCACACGCACCTCACTCCCACCATGGTTGGGGCTGAGGTGAGCGAATATTAAGAATCGACGTCATAATTTATTCATCTTGCGTTGCGGAGTACGTTATTTTTAGGATTTTACGTGCTCATATGGATTCTTCTTGCAACATTAGCGAGTCTTGGATCGTAAGTGAAAATTGTGTCTCACACAATTAGAAAACATATGCCGACCCTACACAAATCAGAGGATATGAAAAGACTACTTTCGGAGCCTCCGATTGTGGCTTTTAGAAGAGCAAAAAAACCTAAAGGATCTATTAGTTAATGCAAAATTACCCCCCCAAAAAAGAACCATCAGAAGGGGAAACTGGTTTTATTCAGTGCCCATCAAAAAAATGCTCTGTCAGACCATTTATAAAAACAACTACGAAATTTATCAGTAATGTAACCTGACAATCCTTCCCAATCACAACACCCATTCATGACAAAATGGATTGGTTAATTTATTTAATGTCAAAAATGTGGTAAACAATACGTGGGGAAAACCACTACATCCCTTTACACTAGATTCACAAATCATAAATCAGACATTAAACACCATAATATCCCATCAAGTAAAAACTTACCAGTTGGCCGATATTTTAATCAAGCTAATCATTCAATAACATATATATCAATTATAGGTGTTGAGCGTACCATTAATAAACAAGAATCAATTATCAAGAGAAGAGAATCGTTTTGGATTAAAAAATTACAAACCCTTAACCCGAAAGGTATTAAAGTTGATGAATAGCATATTTCCTATACAAAGATAGTCCATTTAATTACTATTCTAAAAATTCTGTCCTTTCGGGTTACATAATTAATTATATGCTAAATAACGGATTTACAAAATACTAATGCCACATCAGCAACAAATGTACTACTTCATTCCACAATACCAGAGTAGAGACCAAGAGGGTAACACCCCTAAGTCAAATGAAGATATATGCACGTTTCATTTCAGTAACACGATGGCGTGTATTTCAATACTTGGAGTATGTATTATACTTTCTCATTTCAGTAAGTTTCATGAATTGCTTTTATAAATTTGTATTAAATAACCAAATCTGTATATACATATTAGAAACTAAATAACGGAAATCACTATCATGGTAGACTAATTTTTATGTATTTTAATCGTAGGTATTTTTAATGTAAATTATTTTAATAAGTAGTTTTTATATTTTAAGACGATTTTGTACTGTTTTATGGATGTTTTTGTACAGACCCTGATGAAGAGCGTAAGCTCGAAAGCTTGATGATTAAAGACACGTTTTGTTCCATCCAAGCCCCTGACTATTTCTTTCATAATATAAAAAAAGGTTATCTCGATACGTTAGAGGTCTGTTATAAGCACTTAACACACAACTATATCATGTAAATTTTACATTGTCTTTTTGAATCGGTTTCATTCCTTAATATTCATTTGCTATTTTGCTAATCTTGAACAAATTGTTGAATTCACTCGTCATGCTTATTGTTAACTGCTATTCCTATCTATATGTATATACATTGCAGATGTGAATTCACTGATGATGAATATATAATTTAACAGTGTTAACAGCTACCTTGATTTATATTATATGCAATTATTTGTTTCCAGCCGTACGTACCTATTGTGTAATAGAGTGTATCTGGCAGTAATTTGAATCTGTTCAACCATGAAGCCTCTGTGGTCTAATATTTATGACGCTCGCCTTGACTGCGAGAGGTCGTAGGTTCGAACCCGTTAGAAGCATTTCATTACACAATTTCTTTATAGGACTGCAATTGTTGAGAGCTATGCTACACGATGTATTATTATGTCCTTTATTCGAACACTGTATTTACCTTTCTTGATGATTTATGTATAATTTAACAGTGTTATGGCTATATTGACTTATATGAAGTTATTTGTTTTCCAGCAGTACGTACATATTGTAATTTGAATCTGTTCAACCATGAAGCCTCTGTGGCCTAATGGTTATGACGCTCGCATTGACAGCGCGAGGACGAATCCCATCAGAGGAATTTCACTACACAATTTCTTTATTAGCTACATTCTTTGAGAGCTATGCTGCACGATGTATTATTATGTCCTTTATTCGAACGGTTTCTGGACAAAACGGAATTAAACCAAAACGGCAATAGGCCTAAATTGTCATAGAAATAAAAAACGCGAAAGAACAACGACGACGGCGCCGACAATAACAATAATAACAATAAGAATAATAATAATACTGTAATAATAATAATAATAGGGCTAATAATAATTATAATAATAATACCAACAATAATAACAATATAACATCCAAATTCAATAATAAAACGATTGTGGAAACACAATATAAAAGCAGTAAACATTTAAATAAGTAAAATTTAAAGATACAGACCGAAAGAGGCTAAGCAATCTATGTCATAAAAGTAAAAACGCGAAAAAATAAACCAATTATTAACATGAAAGTGTACAAGGATTAACAGTAAAAATGAGGCTAAATTGTAATAGAAGTAAAAAACCCGAAAGAACAATAATAATAATAATTATAAATAAATAAATAAATAAATAACACTTTAAAAGATAAAATGAAGCATCCTTCAAAGAACATTTAAAAATTATAAACCGCATCCCGCGCTCGGTGGCGCTGGCTAGTCATAGCATTGTACTTGTCATTGCCGTTTTGACCTGCTACCATTCGAACACTGTATTTACCTTTCTTTCTTATATATATATGAAGATTTTATGTCAAGCGTTGACAAAAACTACAGGGGTAGCCGAAATATCCGCCCAATAAATTTTATTGTTTCTAACGTCAACATCTTGTATTTGAGTTTTATTAGGGTTATAGTCCACATTTTGTACCTTGATAAAGACATAATGATAGGTCGAAATATTGGTTTTCTCCAATAAAGTCTATACAATGTATTATTTTCCTATTATTTCGACGAACCTTTTATTTAAAAACATTTAACTGTTGATTAAAAAGATAAAAATAATTTATAAATAAACCACAGGTTGAAACACGGCCAGTTTTGGAGATTTACTTGTTTTTTACTATGTCAGTGTTAAAATAATTGCCGATTTATAATTGTATCAATTAAATTTGAATTTTGTTTTACCACCAGGTACTACGTCATTAACGACACAGAGTGCAACCAGTAAACAGAGTAAGATTCGTGTTTTTACGTTCTAATTCACCTAAACTTGTTACTGTATTGAATTATATAATAAAGAAATATTGAAAATTGAAAATTGGCCCATGTCATCTCTAGTCACGCCCCTGGTCAATATGTATTTATATATATCGTGACGAATTTTTAATAAATAAATAAATAAATATTTCATTGTATAAATTTACCACCAGTTACTACTGCATTAACGACACAGTTTTCAACACTGGACACCACAACAAGTGCAACAAGTAAGCAAAGTAAGAGTCATGTTTTTTATGTTCTAATTCACTTAAACTTGTTACTGTGCTTATATATATAATAAAAATTCAATTAAAAATATGTTTCATTGTATCAATTAAATTTTGCCATCAGTTACTACAGCATTAACGACACAGTTTTCAACATTGGACACCACAAAAAGTGCAACCAGTAAACAAAGTAAGTGCACACGTCGTTAATGCCCTATTGTAATTCACTTCAACATTAAACGAGTTTACTTGTTTAATGTTAATTACTTTTCTAATTAATATTACATTAGTAAATTCAACAGCAAATGTATTTAATTGTATCAATTCGATTGAAATTTCTTTTTTTACCACCAGGTACTACAGCAGCATTAACGACACAGTTTTCAACATTGGACACCACAACAGGTACAAGTAAGCAAAGTAAGAGTCATGTTTTTTTATGTTCTAATTCACTTGAACTTGTTACTGTGCTGATTTATATAACAAAAATTCAATTGAAAATATATTTAATTGTATCAATTAAATTTTACCATCAGTTACTACAGCATTAACGACACAGTTCTCCACCTTGGATACCACAATAAGTACAACCAGTAAACAGAGTAAGTGCACATGTCGTTAATGCCCTACTATAATCATTTTAACATTAAACGAGTTAATGTTCTAATATCATATTAGTAAATTAAAAAAGAAAATGTATTACAGACACTATCTGCATTAACAACAGTTTTCCAAACTGAGAGCACTATATATTTTTATCATCGTTATTATTATTATTACTGTATTGTTTTTGTATTGTGTTCCAGTTTTTAGAAGTAATAATATAAACTAATTTAACATCTTTATTGATTATTTCTTACTATTTATTTTTTTAATGTAAAAACCACATTATTCCATACTTACTTTTAATTATTAAAATTTGTGTATTTTTAATTTCTAAAATTATATGTATATATATTAATTTTATTGTTTTGTGTTTAACAATATTGTAATAATGTCGTTTTTAGAGTTTTAACAACAGGCAAAATAAATTTCATTGTCCACTTGTTTGATCGATGACAATAAAGTATTCTTGATTTTTGATAACAACATGTTTGAAATGAGGCTGACATGTTTTAATATATAAATTTATTATATTTTATCATGCATAATTACACTTATAATGCATATTATGTATAGTATTGAACTTTGTATGTATCTATATTAATAATAATATGTAATGTACTTTATGGAACAGAGTCGTATAAAAAACATTGCTCATTTACAACTGGATTGCTGAATTAGACTTTTTTACTCATAAACTCCTTAAATGAATTGCAGTTCAAGCTAATTAAACAATTTATAGAAGGAAAGTAGCAACTGTTTTACCATCGTTTATTGGTGTGCACTAGGGTTGGTTGCAAGGTTAACTAAATTATAGAATGGAGCAATACAAGTCAAAAATAGTTTGGCATCATCTTAGTAGATATTAGAACAAGCCAAAATATAGTTTAGTATCATCTATTCTTTAGTACCCTTTTCGGCCACGAAATCGATTTCTTGTATCAAGCTGCAGAGAAAACAATAATTGTACTTTACAATTGTAAACAATTGTGGAATAATTAACAAACAAAACATATTTTGCATTAATTGATCTTGACCCTAATTGATCCTGACCCAATTTAATACCTATGAGTGGTTCATTTGTAAAGTATTATTGCCAAACTAAGCTTAGCTTGAGATTCCAAACCTACCAGTGATCTTTTACATTCAAAGAAAGAATACTGCAAAGCTCTACACGGCTGCTGGACATCATTGCCTGGTTGCAAGCATTCTTTAGGCGTTTTGCCATCCTGTACAAGAAACCAAAAGGCATTTACACATTCATGTATTTACCTGTTATGTAATTTTCTCTTTGTACAAAAATGATGTTATTATTATTGCATCATCATAATAATACGTACAGAAAAATAAAATGGGGAATGGGGCATACAAAGGAAGAAGTTTGGCCATCAAAGATCCATTGTACCATTATTACCATGCATGCAATCTTATTGATTGCATTTTAAAAATGATCTTTTGAGGTGTCAGATCACTCTAGGCATTTGTATGCCGACAGTTAAAGAATGTTGATGTACAAAAGAAAGATGAAACAGTAACAAATCGAAAATCAATTAGCTGTTTTTGGAATATGGGGTTACTTTTTTAAATAAAAGGAATACTACTTGCATAAAATAAAAGTTAACAACTATAATGTAGGCCTACCTTACGCACACAATTACTTTCCAATAAACATGTTTTCAAGTCTTCTTTGAGCCCTGAACATGGTCGTTTACTTTCAGGTTTATCTTCATAATATTTTGGCATTCCCGCTGAAAATAATGTACAACAAATTGATTATTCTGAAACTGTATTGTTCACACTTGAAAAATTGTTCATCTTGACTGATGACATAATTTGACAGGGCCATCAAATATGGGTTGTCATCACAAAAGTGCCTTTAATATATGTATGTTGGGTGTCATCATAAAAGCGCAGTCAAACAGTATGAGTGTCATGATAAAATATGAGGTGTCTCTTAGGCTTGTTTAAACAAGTTTGCAAAAGAGCTGCGGATGATGTGATCTGGTAATGAGTTGCAGTAAAGGCAGGCCTAGTGCCTATCACACTATCCGAGGTATAATTATTGCGAGTGATGATTATTCTGTGACTGGTAAGGTTGGTTTTTGGATTTGATTAGTTGATGGAAATGAAGATGAGGTAGGAATTTAACTATGCAAGGTGCTGCGGTACACACGTGCTGTGGGACGATCAAAACACTAATCCAAACTTTATCGCAGCAACATTGTATCTGGGTGCAATCTAGGCAGCAGTGGTGTACCAGTGGTGCTGATGGGTGGCGCAAAGGTAAAGTTGGGGGGGGGGCTCAATGATCGCTTGAGGGGTGCTAATTCTAATTTGCAAAATAAGGTGATTTTTTAGTACTTGACTGTGATTTTTTGCAGGGGGGGGGGGGCGACAGGTAGACACACCACACCACTGGCAGCCAGGACCTATATATACACAGTTCTGGCTTTCATGTTCGCTTGCTGCTCCCTGAAAAAAAAAAAGAAAACTATGGCCTACAATACAATACAATACACATTTGGAGTGCGCACTCTCTAATGCTGTAAAAACGAGTAGACATTTCGACGGCTAAATATCCACCGTAATTATGCCTAGCCTTAAAAAGTATGGTATGGTATGGTATTAGATAAGTATAAACTATAAAGTAGGCCTACCTACACCAGGGCTAGCCTAGCCCTGGCAAGTAAAAACCAGAGCCTATCCTACTTACTACGGGTCAAACTAATTACCGTCAACTACATTCGGCGCGAGACTCGCGCATTCGAGATCTCTCTCATGCTTAAGGACCAAAATCTCACGCATAAATGTAATATTGCCTATAATCAAAATTACATATATTTGCTCTCTTGCTAAATAAGTGTAATGTGTGATCGATGTATATATATATTATTATCATCATTATTATTACTGTCATTATTATTATAAATATTATTATTAATAATCTATTTGCCTATGCCCTGTCTATAACACAGGACGCTAATTGTATGACGGTTGTTGACGGTATATACTAAATACCGTCAACAAGCGCTGTTGACGGTAATTAGTATTATAAGTCAATCGTGACATCATCACTGCAACTCCCAATGTTATTTGCCTAGCCCTCCCCCTCCCCCCTCCCCCAAATCCAATATTTTTCTAATAGTGGACGCTTGGCTTAATTTTTTTAGGTTCGTGTGTAAAAAAAAAAAATACCTCACTTTTTCGTCACCGCAGAAGATATCGCGCACCATACTTTTGTAAAACAAGGTTAATTAGAACCCGAAGAAAGTTACTTCAAATTCAGGAATTCCTTGAATCAATGGACCCTCATAAACTAAACACACTGAACATTTAATTTATGAGGACTCAAGAAACAAAATTAGATGTAGGCCTACGGCCAGGCAGGAAGCTGCGTCTCCTACTTAGCCGTAGCCCAGCCTAGCTAGTTATATGAATCATCGCACGATTTTACCTGATTGCATCGACCAAAAAAATGCTTTATTTTGTATATTGAAATGTATATTTTTTTTGCCGAAGTCAAATTAGCATTCCAAACAAGCTTCTAACACAAACAAAAGTTATTAATCATATCCGTACTGACTGCTGATGTGTAACGTCACTAGCTCTGTGAGTTAACATGCGCGTACAGTAGCACAAATCAGCATGCACAGCCAAATGTAACACGTCATACAGTGTAGTACTGATCATATCACTATAGCAACCTATGCAGGGGTGGCGTCAGCGGGTGGGGGGGGGGAGAAGCACAATTCGTCGGGGAGAAAACAAAATTGTGTATTTTCTACATTTTCTACTAAAATCAATTAAATAAGCCTTTGTAAACCCCTAAATTGTCAAAATT